TAGGGTGGAGGTTAGATTAAGAGTTTCTTCTGACTACCATGCTAATTATGTATGACAGTAAATTAGGGTGGTAGCCAAAAGAAACTGAAAAATAAAAACTACCTCTCAGAATGCCAATTCCTCCATCAAATATTTAAGGAAGAAATGGAACAAATTAGGCTAACTTTCTGATTCTTATTTGGTATTAACATTAATACTATAATGTTTCACCTAAAAAAACAAAAAACAATCCCCCCCACCCCCAGAAAAGCTCCTATTTTGAATTCAGGAGTTCTATAACTACTTTACAGAATAATTAATGTAGGTAAAATAGACCCAAAAAATGAGTCAAGGATTTGAAACAATTCAACTTTAGAGGAATACAAAGTCCAGTAAGGGCTACTAACAATAAAGGCTTATTTTAATGGCAATTTGAGGCAGACATATAGGAAGCATAGGAACATGCTAGATTTCATAAAACAAGGGGGTTATGACCAAAAAAATGCTCACTAACTACTCAGCTAAATTAGTATCAAGATGTCAAAGGACACAAAATGCACTTTTGCAGTTCTAAAGGAGAAACTGTTATGATCGGAGAAAAAAGGAAGAACAAGGTAATCATAGTCTTAGAAAATACTTTAAAAAAAAAAGCAATATAACCTGATTCTTTCCCTCCCTTTCCCACTACTCATAGAACATAGGTTTCCAGTGGTTATGATGGGATCCTAATTCTTCATCATAATCAGGAAAGCAAGGAACAGAAAAAAGAAAAAAAAAAAAAAGTCAGACTTCGGTAGCCTGTTATCCTAATGTAATTTTTCTGGCCTATATCCAAATACAACTAAATCAAGTTTGCTCTTATGTTTCTACATTTGGGGATTCAAGCACCCAGTCCCAACGTTCCTTTCTTATCTGTTTACTAACAATCAATTCCTTTAATAACCAGCACATATACGTGACTGATATCAGAAGAAGTGAGTTTTGTCCACCTTCAAATACATCCAGACAAGTATTAACAGCAATAGCCAGAACTGCAAAAGCACATACCTTAGTGGGATTTCCACTTATTAAAAGTCTGATGTAATCTACTCTGGTTTGCCTGGTTCATAAAAATGTGTTTTAATACAGTGGACCTCATTATAAAGGAGGTTCCATCCCAGAATACTGTCTAGTCAATGCATTATTACAACTACACACCTTAACACTGGCAATAAGAGATCTTAAAAACAATAAGTTTTCATTGTAATGTGATTTTAAGACGCTCCCTTCTACATATGCACAGCACAACAGTTAATAAATACCATACCCTGTTACAATGCATTTTTTCAATGTATTTATTATACCATATGGTCATATTGTCCCATCTTATACCATATGGTCATAGAAAGTAACATCAAGGGAATATAAATGGTCTGAAGTAAATGTTTAATGCCAAAAGTATAAGCACATTCAATTGATAAATATTTAATAAGCTCCTGTCATTTACCAGAATATTCTATTTTGAGCATCTACAAAGTAATACTTACAAATATAGGGCATGCAATTTGTTCAATTCCCAACATAATTTTACATTTAAGATATTTGATAACAAGAGTTAAAAAAAATTAGAAACAATCTAACATCAAAAAATATGTTTAGGTTAAAAATTGCAGTGTATCTAATGACAGGTAAAATATTTTGGTATATTGTTAAGTTAAAAATATTACAAAACCACATACACTGTATTATAGAAGCATAAAAATAGTGTATAGATATATGTACTACATCAAAATGATTATGTAGCCCGGCCAGGCGTGGCTCAGCGGTTGAGCGTCAACCTAGGATCCAGGCGATCAGGGTTCAATTCCTGGTCAGGGCACATGCCCGGGTTGTGGGCTCGATCAATGACTCTCTCATCATTGATGCTTCTATCTCTCTCTCCCTCTCCTTTCCTCTCTCTGAGATCAATAAAGATATATATTTTTTTAAAAAAAATGTTTATGTAATATCTTTAATGGCAAGATTACACATGATTTTTTTAATTTTTGTACTTATATCTAATTTTTCAACAATGAATGTGCTTTCCCTCCATAATTAGAAATGTTTTAGTGTAGCTGAAACTTCCATGAGAAACTTTTTAAACTTATATTTTACTGTCAGGTAAGGTAAATCTTTGACTGAAACGTCATTTTACATGAGCGCAATTTTTCATTTCTTTCCATGCACGTGGCAATTAGAAGATATCTCTTTAAGTGAATATAAGGAAGACAGTTCAAAAGACCACAATACATTTCACTTTCCACTGAATACCAACTTCAAATTTAAAACTATTTCTTGGAGAATTTTATTCTACCATCCATGACATTGAAATTTATACTCAAAAGAGATCCATTTTTAATCACTTATCCCTTCCTCCCCTTGCCCCCCCGCCAGGAAAAACTACTATTCATTACTAAACATTAAAACATGGGCGCAGGCAGTGGGAAACACTTCTAACTAATTAAAATTAGTTGTTCCACTTATTTATGCATTCACTGACTTTCTTGTATGTGCCCTGACCAATGAACCAACCCACAACGCTGGCATATCTGGACGATGCTCTGACCAACTGAGCTACCCCAGGGCCACTAATTAAAATTAGTTCAAGTATCCTTATGGTTTCAGGAGATATAAATATGCTTTCTAGTTATTGGCAATTTAAACTTAAATTCATCTAGCCTAGAGGTTCTCAAGCATTGATACATGAGAACTGCCCAGAAGTGTGTCAAATGCAGAAACTAATGGCCTTAGCAGTTCATCTAATCAGAATCTTCAAAGGGTAGAGTTCAAACAGACAGGCCCTTTCAAATAAGATAGCAGAGATTCTACTTTACAAATGCCTTCTCTATATCATTGCTAACTGTTCTAATAACCCTGAAGCAAAACTGTCAATGTAAACGTTATAATCAGAAAATTACAACTTCATAACCTATACACACTAATTCATCCATTCGTCTAGATACAATTCAACAAACCACACACACACTACAGAATAAAGCAAGCCTAGAGGCACCTGTGCCTGGTAAGACAAAGGCATATCCTATTCATGGAAAAAATAGACAGCAGATGTGACCCCTAGTATTTAGCCATTAAAAACAATGTATCCTAAAAATAAATTTCCATGTCAACGGAACAAAGCTGTTTATAAATAAGAAGGAATGTGGAGGTGTGGGGAAGACAAGAGGAAGCTTCAGCAAGTTAAGTACCAAAAGCCAGGAAACAAGGCAGAATGAATGGCAACTGGGACAAGGAAAACAGAGTCAACTAGTAAGTGGAAGGGGGAAGAGGAGCTCTGTCCTCAGAATCCAAGAAGATGGGGAAATGAACAGATATCAGAGGAAACCAACCTGAGCAAAAATGCAAACTGTAAAGTGGAAAATGGTGTAATTCTGTTAAGAAAGAAGAAAAATATGAGGGAATTTAGAGATCAAATGGTGGTATAGAACACATCCCGGGCATAGAAAGAGGTGGCATAAGAGGACAAAAAACAAACACTGTGAACAAACTTATACTAATCAGAGCAAGCACAGCAAATGAATTTCCAAAGTAAAGATGATGAAGCAGGAAAAAGAACTGCACAGTCAGAAGAACGAGATGTTATGAGAACTGGGAAACAAAATGTAACTAGTAGGACGGAAAGAGAACTTTGAGCAAAGTCAACAGAACAAGTCACGTTATCTAATCAATCATTGTAAAGCACAGTTTTACCATATATTATCTCATCATCTGTACAGTATAATGAAGTGTATTACTTTCTGCAATAAAACGCCAAACACTAAATGTAACACATTTTACGTAATAAAAAAACACAATGTAAATAAAGTCGTTTGACAAGGTGATAAGAGACTGAATGCAAAAAAAAAAAAAAAAGGCTGAGAGAAGCAAGGGCTAAAAAGCAAGACGTGAAAGAAAGCAAGGAAAAAAAAAAAAAAACTGGGACAGAAAGAAGGACAACAGAAAGAAAGCGATCAAACCTACTTTTTAAAGAATGGGTAGAAACACCCAGAGAGGTGTGAATGGAGATGGAAGAGCCGCCACAGAGCGCGGGCAGCGCAGGTGAAACCTGATGGAATCTTGACAGCTCCGGGATCCAGAAGGGAAGCGGCTCCCCAGCGTCCAGGGGGTTTGCGAGGAGAACGGGCGAGAACAATGTCAGGGAGCCGGCGGAATGGAGCCGAGGGCCTCGGGAGGACCAGGGCTGAGCGAAGTGCAAAGATGGGCTCGAGTACAAGCTGAGGTCAGGCGGCAGGGAACGGGATGGGGGTTACCAGTCGGCGACGGGGCAGGGACGCCGAGGAGCGCGGGGGCCTGAGGCCGTGGGGGGGGAAAAGGGCGGGTGGAAACGGTGGGGCGGAGGTTTGAAAAAGTAAACCTCTGGGTAAAACAGGTGAAGAGAAATCTCCAAAAAAAAAAAAAAAAAAAAA